AATTTTAAAATTTAGAGAATTGAAATTGAAATTGATTTCACTGTTCATATAGGTTGACTTGGATATAAAGGACAAAATCGACGTTTTTAAGGATAAATTGGTGACATCAGCCTAAGCTGATCTTACTATCGAAATGGTTATATTTGATGTTGACATGTGCCCATGGTTTTGCACGTGCATATATATTGATATGTGTGAATTATTTGTGAATCGATAGACTTATGTTATGTTATGTATATGTTATAATATGTGAATTGTATAATAATACTTACCATACGATGTTTTCAATAATATGCTTAAGATATGATACAAGAAGGATGCACTAAACATAAAGTAATAATAGAAGTAAGATATGTATATGAAATGTTAAGGTTAGATTACATGTAAAAGTGCTATGGATATGAGAGATTGATAGAAACGATATTGTCACAATCAATTGATAAAAGAATACGATTAGGTTATAGGTAGAAACGGATAGGATTATGATAGATGGATAGAACGATAACGTTAGAATATGTTCTTGTAACGATGTGACTAAGGTACATTCATATAAAGATATGACTGTGATATATATAAGAATGTTAAGGCTATAATAAGTTAGGGAATAATATGACCATGAAATGTTTACGATATGATATGATTATGATACGACATGTGAATGACAGATATATATATATATATATATATATATGTTGTCATATGATATGAAAATTATATGAAACATGTTATGGTACGAGATGTGATAAATTGACATGTTTATGATATAATATATTGTGATGCAATATGTTATGGTATGAGATGTATATGAGGAGATGTTACGTTAAAAACATGGAATACTATGTTATGCCTCTTAAATTGTATGTACACAACATGATATGAATGACATGAAATCACGATAAATGACATGAAATCTAACCCCGTTAGAGTTATGTGTGATATGAGAAATGAAAAATGAGAAATGATATGATATGAATGATAACCAATATGTGAAATGATATAAAAAATGACATGAAATGTACGTAACGTTAGCGGGGTTGTATTAAATGATAATGAAAATAGAAAAATATTGGGACCTCATGCATTATGTCTGCTCATACATTGGGGGATACCCTATTCCATTACGAGGGTACGGACACGTACACCATTAGGCAGGTGAAGTATCATTATGTTTTACATAATGCTGTCATAATAGTTACTGAGTCTAATGGGTGTCCGGCATAAGAAGAGTTATCAGAGCAGGGTCGCCCAACAAGAAAGGGGTCCAGCGGTGTGTGAACTGTCTAGTGAGCCCATACTCGAACGTATCAGCTGTGTGTAGAGTATATGGTACACATCCAAGCTACCCATTAAGATAGTGTCGTAGGAAAAGAGACTAATATGATAGATCCGTCATTACATTCACATGTTGTTGCATTTAACCCCCGGCGGTGGGGTCCCTTGCTGAGTATTTTTTAAAATACTCAAGGCAGTGCTACCTCTATTTTAGGTTAAGGAAAGACATTCCTATATGGCTGATGACGACATCGCAACTCGATGCATAGGGTAGTCTTATTTATTTTATTAGACTTACACTAGAATATGATGTTTTTAATTTAAACGTTTATTTATTTTATTTAGTCTTTTGTTGTGTCGTTTTTTAAGGTGTTTTTAAAACACGTAAGTCCATGACTGTGTTTTAAGATGAATGTGACGTTTTATGAAAGTTTAAATGAAGTATTTTCGCATTCAATGTTTATGATATGTATAGAGTAGCGATCTTAAATTAAGTAGAAAATTTTGGGTCGTTACATATTGTCGTTGAAGAAAGATTTGAGATGAAAAATGATCGATGAAAATTCTTGCAAGGAAGGTAGAAACGTTACGCAATAACACATTCCTCTTGTCATGATTTTGTAAAGGAATCAACTAGTTGAGAAGCCACATGTAAATGAGGAGAGGATTGGGTTATTTCGAGAACTTTTTAGGGTGAGAGATTTAAAGAAGAAAGAAGGGTAATATTCTACCATTTAAAAAATATATATATATATACATACATACATATATACGTGTGTATATATATATCTATATACATATATATGTATATATATAAATATCTATATACGTAGATACATAGATAATACATATCTATGTAGATATACGTAGATGCATACATAATACATATCTATGTAGATGTATGTATATATATCGATACTATTATGTACATACATGTTTGAGGTTTGTTTTAACTGAGGAATGTCCCCCTAAATCCCGGCTCAAATGCAAACAGAATAGTTTGGGATGCATATGACAAAAAGGGAAAGATAAGATTTCTACTGACCCAGACGCAAGGTTCAAAATGCAAATAATGGAAAATGTTTCAATTACAATGAAAACGGGCATAGGGAAGAGTGTTGAAAAGGCACAACAAAGTAAATAAGATTTACTAGTTGTAAAAATATGTTTAGTAGAGCATGATCACTCAACCTAGATACTGGATTCATGGACCACTAATCATATTTGTTCTTTTTTTTAGGAAACTAGTTCCGGAGAATGCTTGCTGAAGGCGAGATAACACTCACGGTTGGAAACAGGGGCACTAATCATATTTGTTCGGTATTTACTCTGTTTTTCTTAAATTTTGTTCACAATTATCTTTGACCAATTTTAATTAATTTTTTAATTATATTGAGAATAAAATTCAAAATTTCATATCTCTCATTTTTTCCTTTTATGTGTTTCTCTATTTTTCTTTTATTTTGTTCCCAGTTTATCTTTGCCAATTTTAATCAATACTTAGTTGTTTTTCACTTTCATTATTTTAATGTTGGATCCGAATTTTCTATAATCAGTAGAATGATAACAAAAATCTAAACAATTGAAACACGATATAAGAGAAAAAATCATGAACTTTTCTATGATTTCCTCCTATTAAAATTTTAAATAAAAATTGGGATTTACCTTTCATTTTTATCTAAAATTTATGTATAAACTCTAATTTGATATAATTTAAACATATACATATACATCAATAAGTAAGTACATATGCTTTAAATATTTTGTTTTACTTCACCAAAATTTTTACCTTATTTTTTGGGTCACCATCGGTGCTTTAGTACAACTGCCAAATCATGCTAGACAAATTTAAATAAAATTCCTCTTATCCAATAGGAGATGGTTAACTAATTTTGATGGAGAATATGAGGTTAAAATTCCAGTATATCACATTGAATGCTTAGAAAATGTTGTCTATTACAATTGTAACGACCTAGAATTTTTTATTTAATTTAAGGTCGTCACTGTATACATATCATGAACATTGGATACAGAAATACTTTATTTAAACTTTCATAAATATGACTACTTTATGCATGTTCCATGGTCTCAAGTTGCGATGTCGTCGTCAGCAGTACAAGAATGTCTTGCCTTAACCTGAAACAGAAGTGACTTAAGTATTTAAATAAATACTCAGTGGGTGACCTCACTTTTGGGGCTTTAAATGCAAGAACATGCAAATGCAATGATAGAACCTATCTTTTCAGTCTATTTTCCTTCGGTACTATCCTAACGGGTAATTTGGACGTGTACCATATACTCTACACACAACCCATACGTGTGAGTTTGGACTCACCAGTCAATTCGCACACCGCTGGGCAAATTTCCTTGTCGTTCGAGCATACTCTGGGAATTACTTAAACTGGACACCGTTAGAACTAATAACCATCAGGCAGCATTAGGTTAAACATAATGTTTGTTGTCCTGCCTGACAGGCGTAGCATTATGATAAACGTAATGAACGTTTTTCTGCTTGGTCATCGTAGCATTATGATAACGATAATGATTATTTTTCTGCCTCGTAACGTATACATCCGTACTATCGTGAAGGGTAAGGGGTATCCCCCAATGCATGAGCACACAATAATGCATGAAGTCCCAACATTTTTCCATTTTTATTATCATTTAATACAACCTCACTAGTATTCCGTACATATCATATCGTTTCTCATATCATTTCACATATCGTTTTTTATGTATATGTCGGAGTTGTATTTCATGCTAGTTCGTCATTTTGCATGTCAATCACATATCATTCAAATTACATAAATATATCATATCATAACATTCCAGGCTTCCCGACTAAAAAATTTCATCATGTACATATCATACCATAATATATCGCATCACAATATATCATATCATAAACATGTCAATTATCACATATCTCGTACCATAACATATTTCATATCATTTTCATATCATATCACAATATATATATATATCCGTCATTCACATGTCATATCATAATCATATCATATCTTAAACGCTTCGTTTTCATATCGTTCCTTAACTTATCAATAGCCTTAACATTCTTATATCTATTATAATCATATCGTTACATGAATGTACCTTAGCATATCATTGCAGGTTAATGCTATCATTCTATCAATCTATCATAATCCTTATTTTTAGAGTAATCCTAATGCTATCGTTCTTGTAACACCCCGAACTCAACAGGTACAATTCGCTCTATCCTTGTGACTAGCACCTTCTTAACCATTGTGAGTTTCTAGATTTTATTGGAGGACTTAGAGTGTGATTTTCAAATCGGTGCAGAAGAAAGAAATGCTCGGTATGCATCAAGGAACTTAAGGAAAATATTTAAAAAAATGGTAATGTAATCTAAATTTTGGTCAAAGTCAATATAGACAGACTAGGAAGAAAAAAAAAAAGAAAAAAAAAAATAATAGAGAGAGAGAAAGAGAAAGGAACCGTTAGGGTTTTTTAAGAAGAGGAAGGAGGGAGAAATGCCCAAACCGGAACTGAAGCACTCTCAATCTTAGGTCTCCTACTAGAGCTACTCAAAGTATCAAGAGGAGTGGTCTGACCGTTGGATCGTTCGTTTCCGGAAAGAAACGTTAGGTAAGTCCACGACCTCTTTTGTTTCAAGATTTCACCATAGTTCCGGGAATTTTAGATGATTTAGACCTTAATAATCTAGTTGCAAAACTTTAGGTGAGGAGACTTGCAAGTTTTCAGAGGAAACGCAGCCAAAATCTCGTTGGAAAACAAAATCGAGAAATTGTCCTACTTTGGTAAGAAACTGAATTTTTCTTAGTTTTCGACTCCATTTATTAGGTGCTGTGCATAACAAAAAAATAGAATAAAAATATATCTAGATAGGTGGACTTGAGATCTTGAATTCTTGTGAAGGAATCCATTTAATTCGAGTTATGGTTTGGAAGATAGAAAAACCCAAAATAAATAGGTTGATATAGAATTTGACCGAAATCTAGAAATTGGATGAACTCAGGCAATCGGCGAGGGACACACGGCCGCCGGAAAGGGAGGACTCGTGTTGAGCAATTGGTGGAGAGACACGTCTGGCACCTCTGTTGACACCCGTTCGACGGTTGACCCGAAAACCTGACCCGAGCTCCGTGAAGCAACCCGATGACTCGCGGTCCAACCCGAAAGCTACTGCCAGTCCCTGTATACGACACGTGTCACGCCTAGAAAATTCGAAGGGGGTAAGTCTACGTCACGCCCGTGTTGACCACGCGTAGACCCTGCGCGTGGGGAAATGTGCAAGCGCATGGGAGTCCCCTATGAGCGCGTGCGGGCGTGTGAGTGCCCTATTTTCTCCCGTTTTTCGTCCCGATTCCAGTGCTAATCCTATTTTACTATGAACTAGGTCTTTGTATAGATAATTCATAGTTTTCAGACTCCATTACGACTGTAATCAAGCTCGGGAAGGCACGCGACATACTTGTAAGTAACCATACTAATTTAGGAAGTAATACTTGTAGGGTGCGCTTGGTTTTGCATGCATGCTAGAACAAATTACCCATAGGTGGCTAGATCTAATGATCCTCTGTACTTAGAGAATTAAATATATATCTATTGGACTTGTTCCCCTAGTGAGATTTTGTACCCGTTGTTTGTATGCTTGCTGGACTATCTTACTAATGCTTTTATCTGTTCATACTATGTTGGCGGACATGAGAATTTGTGTATCTGTGCTCCGGGTGTTGATGGATGTTACCGCCCCGTTGAGCTTGTATGATTGTATGCATTGTTAATCATACATAAACTCCTCTTAAATAATTGTGCGAACTTATGATATGATTGACAAGTTGTAGTGTTATGATATGCCTAAGGTGAACTCTTGTAGGGATTAAGTTGGGTTTAGTTAGGGGACCATCCTAATGTTACGGTCTATGGTGTCGTGAGTGACGCTTAGAGGGAGAGACCCTTTAACCTTGGACTGTTATAGACTTGGGAATCTTGGTCGAGTGAATCTGGAAGTCGGGATCCTTAACTCAATAGTTTTAACTATCCTTGAGATATAGAGAACCACATTGGACCCCGAGGTGTAGAGAGATGATCTCTTAGCCGACAGTATCTGGTATAGCGTTCGAGTATGCTCCGCTTCCCTTCCTACTCCATTGTGGTACTATTGAGCTAGGCGAGAAGCCAGTTAGGGAGATGTTACTCTTTCCTTCCTACTTCGGTGTGGTACTGTAACGACCCAAAATTTTCTACTTAATTTAAGGTCGCTACTGTATACGTACCATAAACATTGAATGCGGAAGACTTCATTTAAATTCCATAAAACATAATCTTTATCTTAAAACACAGTCATGGACTTACGTGTTTCGAAAACATCTTTAAAACGACACAACAAACGACTAAATCAAATAAATAAGAGTTTCAGTTAAAAACATCCTATTCTAGCCTAAGTCTAAGAAAATAAATACCACTATCCTATGCATGTGTCATGGTCTCGAGTTGTGAAACCGTCGTCAGCCGTACAGGAATGCCTTGCCTTAACCTGAAAAATATAGTAGCACAGGCTTGAGTATTTAAAGAAATATTCAGTAAGTGACCCCACTATTGAAGTTAAATGCAACAATCACATGTAATGAGATGATGGAACCTATCTTTCATTCCGTTCTTCCTACGGTGTTGTCCTAACGGGTAATTTTGGATGTGTACCATATACTCTACACACAGCCCATATGTACGAGTATGGGCTCACCAGCTAGTTCGCACACCGCTGGGACACTTTTCTTATCCGGTGGGGATATTCTGGGAGCCCTTTAGGCCAGACACCCGCTAGAACTAGTAACTATCACGGCAGCGCTATGCAAAGCATAACAATCGTTGTCTTGCCATTAGATGTATGCGTTCGTACCCTCGTGATTGGATAGGGGTATCCCCCCAAATGCATGAGCACACATAATGCATGAGGTCCCAATACTTTTTCATTTTCATTATCCTTTAATACAACCCCGCTAGCATTATGTACATATCATATCATTTTTCATATCGTTTCAGATATCGTTCCAGATATCGTTCATCATTCATATCATATCGTTTTTCATTCTTCAGTTTTCAAATCATACATAATTCTAACGGGGTTATATTTCATGCCATTTATCGTAATTTCATGTCATTCATATCATGCTGTGTACACACAATTTAAGAGACCTAACATAACGTTCTATGCTTTTAACATAACATTTCATCATATACACATCATACCATGACATATTGCATCACAATGTATCATATCATAAACAAGTCATAATGTAAACACTTCGTAGTCATATCGTTTTCTAACTTATCATAGCCTTAACGTTCTTATATCTATCACAGACATATCATTACATGAACGTACCTTAGTCATATCATCACAAGAACATAACCTAATGCTATCGTTCTATCAATCCTAATATTATCGTTCTATCAATCTATCACAAACCTATCCCTTTCTACCCGTAACCTAACCATATTCTTCCATCAATCTCTCTTATCCATATCACTCCAGTATGTAACCTAACCTTAACGCTACATGAACGTATTTTACTCCTATCGTTACATTTCGTTTTGTGCATCCATCTCGTATCCTATCTCAAACATATTCTTGAACACATCGTACCGTAACTATTATCATACAGTTCACATATTATAACATATAAGAAGCATATTGATCCACAGACAATTCACACATATCAATATATATGGCACGTGCAGAACCACGGGGCACGTGTCAATATCAAATATAACCATGCTGATACTAAGGTCACTTACCTGGCTAGCTTAAGTTGTTGTTACAAATATATCTTTAATGAAAGTTTGATTCAGTCCTTTGAAATCCATGTCAACCTATGTGAGCCCATGACATTAGCTTCATGTTTGAAATCTACAAAATTATTTCTTTAATTTACATGGGTCCATTGTGCAAAGTCTTGAAATGTTATATGTCTATAATTATATTTTTATAAAAAATCTTATTTTCTATAGTTATGGGTGTAGATACACCTATTTAAGTTATTTCTCTATATTTAGTTTGTGGTTTTTAATTCCTTAATCTTCTTTTTTTTCTTTTATCTGTTTGTCTCTTAATTGTGTTCTAACTTATTCTAAATTTCTAGTGGATCTCTGTTTCCAAATCTTTCCTTGTCTTAGTGTTTAAGATTCACAAATTTTCTTGGCCATTCTATTTTTAATCTATGGCTACTAATAAAAATTTAATTTAATATTACTAATCTGATGTGATTTGCTAGAATTCATATAAATGATGTGATTGACTAGAATTCATATAAACGATGTTATTTGCTAGAATTCATATAAATGATAGACATTTAGTTTCTAACTCAAAATTAAACCATTGTAATAATTCAACAAGATCTTGTGATTTCTAAAAAAATAGGATTAAAGAAAATGAAGATTTAATATATACGTGACTATTATTCTTTTTCTGTTTTTTTTTTTGTTACTTTCTCGCAGGATGGGTTGAGGAGAGATAAATATGGGGAGGGATGAGAGGTTAGTGGAGAGAAGTAGTGGAAATGTTGTTTTTTTGTTTATTTATTTATTATTATTATCATTTTAACCATTTTTTTATAATTAATATTATTGGTTTATTTCTTTATTTAGTTTTGGGTTATTACAAGTACCGTTGAGCTAGGCGAGATGCCAGTTAGAGAGGTGTTACTCTTCTCTTCCTACTCTGTTGTGGTACGGTTGAGCTTGGCGAGACGCCTGTTAGGGAAGTGTTACTCAATGGTAGATTGACTACTCTGCAAGGGGATCCATCTTATGGTAAGATGTTGATCATGCGAGTGGGTCAAGGTCGCCTGCATGATGGGTCTGTCCTGTGGAAGGACGTTGACCATGTTGTGATTAATTCTAGCTGGGTTGAACGAGGGGTACATGTAGTTATGAGGGAGCACCTCATCCTCAAATGTTGAATACCGCTTCAAAGGTTAAGTCCTTCCACCCTGAACTGTGTACTGAGAGTACTGAGACTCTGGGGTATAGAGTATAGTTGGTGGTTCTCACCTAAACTTAGATATGAATAAGAGCCTACAAGTAGGTTGCTTACTGAGTATATTTTTATACTCACCCCGTTTCCCTTTTTTTTTTTTTCCAGGTACTAGTCGAGGTGGGGAGGTGTTCGAGAGCTGCACTGTCACAGAGGGGAGTCGTTCCGAAGCGTCAGTTCCTTGTCGGTCTTTTAGAGTCTTGTATTTTTCTTTCATAATTGCATTTCCCGTTTGTAATATTTGACTTTAATTTTGTATTTAATTTTTGTGTCGTTGACTCCTTTTTCTTTCTTTAAATTTTATGAGATTTTCATTTCCTATTTTATCACCTTTTAAATTTTATTTGTTTTCACGATTTTCGTCTTTTTAGTCACGATTTGTTCTTTCGAAACCTAAAAAATCAGGTCGTGACAGTTCTATCGTTCAATGTTCATAGACTATATATGTGTTTAAGTAATTTTAAAGCATATTGCTTTCATTTCAAGTATTCTTAAATGAATTTTTTTGAAACTCATAATTTCTATATTTGTGTTGATTGGAAAACTACTTTAAATTAATTTTACTTTCCATCTATCATTTTTCTCATTGGACTTGTGGAAAGTAAATGAATTTAAATACATAATTTTATCCAAAGTTGTTTAAAATATTTTTATTGTTCTAGTGTTTACTATAGCTTTTGGATGAATGTTTGTTTCTTCTTTGGTGTTTGTGTCATTGCATGATGTTGCATAAAAAGGTGTACATGATTTTAAATAAAATAAGACCAAATGCAAATGAAGATGAACAAGAAACTATGTGGCAACGTGCACTACACGAAAATAAGATTTGTCATGGATCACATCCTAATATGCACTAAAAGCAATTGGGCTCCCTAATATGGTTAAATTAACCACATTTAAGTACAATTAATTCTCACACAAAAGTTGACTACCTTACATTGGGGCATGCAAGTTGTTCAGTAAAAATAATGACAAGAAAAAAAACATATCATTGTAAGGAAAGTAATGCAACTATGTAAGTGCATAAATAAATAAAAAATTAAAAAAAACTAAGGTTTCCCTTGAGCTTGTTACCGGTTATCAGCTCCCTTTTCCTCAATTTTTTTTTTTCAGTTATCTATTGTCAAAAAAATAATTTTGTGGGTAGAAATAATATTATAAAATTCATCTCCTATATATCAAATAGCTCTACTTTTAAGACGTAGTTCAAGGGTATGTTGTCAATAGATGACTTCATTCATGAATTTTTTCTTTCCTATAATTTTAGTGATTAAAAATATCTTACGAGTTCATCCAATTCTGCTTGTTGTTTGTTTAGTGCAATTATTCCAACGGTTGTCTTCTTCTTGTTGCTGTTTTCAACTATTTGCTACTAAATTCCCTGTCAATTTATAAATTGTTGATCGATCCTCTACTACTGCTGGATATTTTATGTTGTCATTGATATTAAATTCTATTTGTTGAACATCCATTTTCAACATTATTGTTCCCTTGTGGACATCTATAATTGTTCTCCCAGATTTCAAAAATGCTCTCTCCAAAATAATTGGTAGTCATGGTTCGGTTCATAATCCAAAATAATAAAATCTACTGGAAATATGAACTTGTCCACTTGAATTAGAATATCTTCGATTTTGCCTTCTAGATGAGTGAAGGTCTGCTAGTTGGAGGGTGACTTTAGTTGATCTAGCTTCACCAATGCCTAACTTTTGGTCAATAGACAACGACATTAGATTAATGCTTGATCCCAAATCACATAATGCTCGACCTTACTTCTTTTCTTTAGTTGATTTTGTAATTGTAAATGAGTCGGGATCTTTCTCCTTTAGTGGGACCTTTTTGTACAATATTGTACTACGCTCTTCATTCAACTCTACCACCTTGAATTCTTCAAATTTTCTTGGATTGGTGAGAATATTTTTTAAGAGTTTGACATAATTGAACATTTATTTCAAGACTTCCACTAATGGTTTGTGATTTTCTTAAATATATCCATGAACTTCTTGAAACCGACTTTTTCCTTATTCTTTTTTATTCTTTGTGGAAAAGAAGATAGTGATGTGTATATTCTGCTCTCTTCTTTACTGTTGAATGTTGTTTGCGTTTTAGGAGACTGCACTATTCCTGCATAATTTTTGCACTATTCTTGCATAATTTTTTCTGTACTCTTTCTGTTCTGCAGTTTCTGCATAAGTTTTTCTCTACTCTTTCTATACAACAATTTCCTCCTTTCTCTACTATGTATAGCTGTTTCTTGGGAGTGACTGTTGTTGTTTTCCTTAGTCTCACCTTTTGGGAGTGACTGTTGTTGTTTTCCTTAGTCTCACCTTTACTACGGAGTATTCTTTTCCTTGGGTGTTGGCTTGTTGAGGACCATATGCCATTTGATTTTATAGACCAAAATCTAGAGGGTAATTTTGTTTAGGTGACATTTGTTGATTGTATGAGACTTGTCTCTTCCATGATAAGTTTTGATAGTTTTTCCACCCTGAATTATATGTCTTTTGAGAAGTGATTATTTTTTTAGATGCCTTGATTAGCTTGATCTCCACATAAAATATTGATGTTAGATTACTTGGATGTTAATTAAAACAGTGTTTTTCTCCACAATATACATAAGATCCAGCTGTTGTTTGAGCCATTACAACAGTAGCTTGGACGGGTGCTTTAGTCATGGAACCTTGTCTTAACGCTAGCTTTTGTAAAATATTAGTCACTAAAGCTAATTAAGCGTTAATAGAGGATAAAGAATCAACCAATTGACAATTGTTAATCAAGCATTGATTGCCAATTGCTCCCCATGAACACCCTCATCATCATACCATGCGCGTCCCCACTCATCATCATTAGTGAAGAAGTATCCCGATATATATGAACACACAAAATGCACGAGGTCCCTATAATTTTCATCTTTAAATCATCTTTAAGACACAACCCTATACACCATTCACTTATTATTCTAAGTAACATGCATGCATTCACATTCATATATTCATCATCATTAACATTAACTAGGGTTGTGTCTTTGAAAACTTGTCGTCATAATGCATCGTGACATTTAACGCATGCACAACATCTTAATGTGGAACATCGTCATATTAAGTCATTTCATCATCATGCATTGCATCATCTTATTATTATGCATCATCATCATCATGTCAACATCATGTACATCATCATATAACTTCACCACATCATCATTTAACGTCATCACTTCATCATATAACGTCATCACATCATCAAATAACATAAAGCATAAATGACATGTGCAAGGGTCACTGGACACGTGTCGTCATACATAAGATAAGTCTTCCGACCGAGTCGATAGAAAGACCACTTACTTGATTAACTTAAGTTGTTGTCATGAATATATCGTTAATGAAATTTTGATTCTGTCTTTTGAAATCCAAGTTAACCTATGTGTGCTCATGACATCAATTTCAAGTTCGAACTTTCATGTAACAAGTTTATAGACGGAGTTAACCATTTTTCTAAAAGATATAAACTACTGTCATATAAAAGAATTTGATGAATTTATTTTATGTCAGAGTACTATCTACTTTCTAGTCATCTGATATTTCAAAATTCATTCAATTATTTTTCGAGGGTTTATCCTCTATCATTCTCATTCTTAGAAGCAAGTTGTTTTGGCAGTATACACAAAAATTGTTAATTTCATTACAACAATAAAAGACTTCCATTTTTTATTCTCTTTGTTTTTAATTTGTTTTTGTAATTATCTTTCAACAATTTTAATGATTTTTTTTTTTCATTTTTTTCTCTGCTTTTAATGGTCTTCCCAGTTATCTTTAGCCAATTTTAATAGTTTTTTTTTACCATTTTAATATTGTTGATCATGATTTTCTAAAATGATGGTAAAAATCTAAACAATTGAAATAGAGTAAAAGGGATGAAAGATCTAATAAACTTCTCTCCCGTTCAAACTTGTATAAAGTCCTATTTTCCTTTTCTTTTCTTTCTGTTCTTTTGTTCTGTTTCCTTCTTTTCCTTGCAGGATAAGTGATCATTATGTTGTTGGAGGTGTTGCAATAAAATAAAATAAAAGTGAATTTTGAACTTAAAATTCTAGTTTTATTTTTTAACTTTTAATTTGATCGAAATTGTACAAAAAAAAAAATTAAAAGTTCTCTTATATGTTCAATAAATTATATATATTAATATTATNTTTTAAAATTTATGAATACTTGTTATACGTGAAATAGAGTTGTATTTATATAATGATAAACGTAATTTTCAAAACAAAAATAGTGATCATAAAAGATTTCCCGTTACATTATTAAAGGGCTTGAATTAAAAATGTTCATCTCTTATTGAGAACATCTCTCTCGACAATCAGCTTATCTTCTTTGGCATGGTTGATCTTCTACAGTCTTCACATCACTCCATTGGTAGCGGCGGAGGTGGCAGAGAGGTTTGGCATGGTTGATCTTCTACAGTCTTCACATCACTCCATTGGTAGCGGCGGAGGTGGCAGAGAGGGAAAGAGAAATGCTGCCGGGGGTGGAGATTTAAAGAAGCTTTGTGCAGGAGGTGGCGAAGAGGGGAAGAGAAATGCCGTCNAAGCTTTGTGCAGGAGGTGGCGAAGAGGGGAAGAGAAATGTCGTCGGGGGTGGCGGAAAGGAGAAGAGAAACGCAGCCGGAGGTAGAGATTTAAAGAAGATTTGCGCAAGAGGTGGCAGAGAAGGGAAAAGAAACGCCGTTAGAGGTGGAGATTTAAAGAACCTTTGCGTAGGAGGTGGCGGAGAGAGGAAGAGAAATGCCGCATGGGGTGGCGGAGAGGGGAAGAGAAATGCCGCCAAGGTAGAGATTTAAAGAAGTTTTGCGCAGGAGGTGGCGAAAAGGTGAAAAGGAACGCCGCTGGAGGGGGTGGAGAAGTGAAGAGGAAGGCGGATAGAGATCTAAGTGAATGCTTTAGGTCTCTTGATGAGTCAGCAATGGCAAGAAATGGATGAGAGAAAAGTGGAAAAATGAATAGCAAAAAACAACCTAAAAGATTCATTTTTTGTTCTTTCTTTTTTATGTTTAGTGATTATGAAGATGGTATGAAGATCCACCCCAATCTCAAAAAATTTGTAGGAATAATACACATTCTCAAAAAATTTAGGCACCAAGAGGCGTGTCCCAACAGGACCAAATTCAGCAACATCTCCCAAAACGCTTCCATTGGGTCTAGGCACAAAGAGGCTGTTCCAAATAGCCCAAAACCAGCAACGTCTTTTGAAAGCCCTCTCTCAAGTTTAGGCACCAAGAGGCGTGTACCAAATGACCCAAAACCAGCAACATCTCCCGAAAGCCCTACCTCAAGTTTAGGCACCAAGAGGCGTGCCCCAATTGGACCAAATTGAGCAAAATCTCCCGAAAAGTCTTAATTGGGTTTCGGCAGCGCATTGCAACTGGCCCAATTCCAGCAACATCTCCTAAAAGCCCTCCATTAAATTTCTCTCCATTAAATTTGTTATGATGTCTCCTAAAGCTAGCAAGCTTAATTAGGTTCTCTAAAGATGTATTACAATGAAGTCTTTAATTTTCTATCTTCAATATAATGAGATGATTCAACTTAATGGTGAGGGACTCTAATAATGGGCATGAAAGAGAATAATTTAGTCTTATTACCTTATTTTCAAAATCTCCTTTACCCATGAACATATAATTTTAATTTTTACCTCATTGATTAACATTTATAATTTAACAATTATGGACATAAATTTGAAAGTTAATCGGTGAGACTTCAACTTTTCTAAAAAAAAAGAATAATAATAATAATAATAATAATAATAATAATAATAAAATAATAATAATAATAATAATGATGAGGAGTAAAAAAGTTATATTTTTAAATATAACCCCACATACCATGTGTGAGATATTCTTAGATAAAAAAAATGAAATATAGAGATAAAAATAGAGGAAAAAAAAAAAGAAATACATAGATAAAGAAAGAGAGGAAGATTTAGAAAACTGAATTGATTAACAAAAATAGTCCAATAAAAATATGGGAATAGAATTTAAAAAATAAAATATTTTATATTTTAATTCTTTTTTAAGAAATTTTATTTTAATTATGCTTTTACTGAAATCATAGCTTAGGTCTATTTGCTAAGTCTAATAAACAAAATCTATTGACCAATAAAAATAGGGTAAGACTCAGTAAACGTAAACGATTCACAAAAATAGACAAATAAAAATATGGGAATAGAATTAAAATTTTTCTTTTAGTTTATTTTAATTCTACCTTTTAAGAAATATTTTTAATTCTATTTGTAGGAAATATTTATTTTAATTCTATTTTTAGGATATGAAAGCAATTATAATCTTTCCCAATTTTATTGCAATTATATATCTCCCTAATTTCTTCCAACTATGTATCTTCTCTAACAAAAATAGGTCAAAGGAAGATTTAGATCCATTAACAAAAATAAGCGAACAAAAGTATGGGAATAGAATTACAAATTTTCTTTCTTTTATTTTAATTTTGTTCTTAAGAAATCAGTATCTTCCCTAATTCTGTTGCAATTTTGTATCTTCCTTAAGCAATTATGTATCTTTCCAAAAAAATTATAAGATCATAGCCATACATAGAAACAGATTTTGAAAATATAATTGATTAACAATAGGCCAAAAAAAGATGGGAATATAATTAAATTGATTAAAAAAATAAAAATAAAAGATTGGGATGTAAGAGGAATTGATTAACAATATAGACCAAAAAAATCTGGGAACAAAATGTAGAGTAAACACATAAAATAAAGATATATGTAAACACAAAAATAAGAAAGAAAGATTAAGTGATTTAAAAACTAAAACTTAAACACAAAACCCAAAATTAATACAAAGAGAAAAAAATGTAACAAAATTAATATGGAATAGAATTAAATGATAAAACAAAATAAAATTACAAAGGACAAGAAAGTACGATGCAAGTTAAAACAATTCTACTAATTTTTTTATCGGTAACTTCATCCATTAGTAATGATAGAAAATAAAATTTTTAATACAAATAGAATGATATATATATATAGACTTTACTCCTACAAAAACTCTAATGTTCGCATAAAATCTAACACATGGACCATTGCAAATAAGATAAATAATGTTACAGAAGTTCGAATTTGAAACTGACGTCATGAGCTCACGTAGGTTGACTTGGATTTCAAATGACAAATTGATGTCATGAGCTCACATAAGTTGATTTGGATTTCAAAAGACAGAATCGAACTTTAAATTAGTGACAACAACTTAAGCTATTAAATTAAGTGATATTACTCTAGGATAAGCTAGAAATCGTATGAGTTACAATTTATGATGTATGAGCTATGATGATATATGAGTTATGATTATGTATGAACGGTATTGCATGATGTCATATACTAGTATATAATGATGTATGAGCTATGATGATGTATGAGTTATGATGTTGTATAAGTGGCGTCGTATGATGCCGTATACTAGTATATGATGATGGATGAGTTATGATGATTTATGAATTATGATGCATGATGATATGTGTAATATATATGTATATATATTATACGATGCATGACGTACATATTATTGTGATGCACGAGATGGCTTTATGATGAGTATGATTTTTGCATGACATTTTGTTTAATATAATGATGTTTTCCATATTTATCATGCTATATGATGATGAGTGTTATATTGTATCATGCCGTTAGATCGACCTAGGACACAACCCTAAGAGCATGAAAAG